TCTTTGCACGTTTAGTGACAGCATCGACAAGTAATGGCGTTTGCCTTGTTAATGATGGCAACTCCGGCTTCTTGGATTGCAGAACGTGTGTGGTCTTTCTCATAGATAACCCTGCACCTTTGTCAAACGTAACTCGGTTTGCACACTTTTGGTCTTGCTGGGAAATTAAAACTCCTAAGCGGACCACTGACTGGCCCGGGAGCTATGAAAAGTAGTATGAAGGGAAAGGAAAATACAATCTCAAACGTTCAGGTACACAGCTATACAAGCATACAGGCTTATTGTTTAATTTAAAAAAAAAAAAAAAGTTCTAAAAGATACTTGGAAGCTTTTAGAAGTGCACAGACATTATTGTTACTAAAGAAGAAAGGCTAATACGGAAAGGAGGCGACACACAGGGCTTGCAGTTGCATGGCATCTTAAGACTGGCATCTGGTACCTTCTTGTGCATAAAAATACCCTTCTTCATGCAGTAAACCGTCTGCTTACATGTGACTCATTCATGTTGTGCTTTTTGGTTTCCTAAGCTCAAGCAATAATTCTTTTTTAATAGGGATTGCTCTTCAGTAACAGTAGTGTGTGAGGGGCTGAACAGTTCCTATTGGAGCTAGTAGACTGAAGTCAGTTAAAAAACCCAAGTGCATTCACAGCTGCTGTGCTGACTTACACTTTGAACACTGGAGTTCTGCCCTGTGTTATCTCTAGTGATGATAGTTTCACCTGCAGTGCTTTGCACCATGCGCACCAGTGGCTCTAGGCAATGAATTTAAAGGTTACATAGTCTGTGATACCATAGAAAAGCCGCTGGACTTATCTTTGCGTTACAAATAATCTTTGTTCATAGCGGTGAAAGTAGCAAAACAATAGAGTGCTTTTATTAGGTGTTCATGGAAGTAAAGGGGTGGTTATGACAGGAAACCAAAGTCCACTTTCAGAATGGTAAAAAACCCTAGAAAACACAAAAACCAAAACACGCTCCACTCTTCTGCTTTGCTGAAACTCCTAAGTAGCATATTGAGTTAAAAATCCTTAAGTTCAGTGATCAAAGACTGTTTATTCCTTAGTCTTGTTTCTTCTGATGAACATCTTTTCTCTTAAACAGGTTAAATATTTTGACAAAAGAAGAGACTTTTTAAACTATAAAAGAAAGCTTGAAACAGAAGGGTATCATCCTCCAGAAGCTGCTGGAAAGTCATAGCTACTCTGCTTTTAAAATAAATCTAGTGAGAATAACTGGAAAGAAGCATGAGAAAGCGACAGAAGCTGCTTGAGCTCAAGAACTGGTAACCTGACCGTCTCCCTGAAATGCGGGCTGCTGTTCTTGTTGCAAGGTCTCATGTGTCTGCTGAGAAAAAAGGTGGTCATGGACAGCTTTTTCATGAGCATAAGTCGAAGAAATATGGAAAGCAGGGCTGTTGACAAATCTAAGGTTTTGAATGTATAACTAGTCAAATTGTTTCACAGGAATAAGTGATTATTGTAATGTAGTTGTAATTGTAATTAAGTGTAATGTACATATTCTAAAGAGAACAATAAAACTGTTTTTCAGTAAGTGAAATGGCTTTTCCTTAAAAAAAATTCCATTCCAACTTCCCCTCATTGTCAAAAGGAGGTGGTGGTATAATGTAATTTGTATTTGTTATTTACCAAGTATTTCAAATTATTTAAAAATACAGTTTATAAACCAGCAGCCATTAGAAGACTGAAAGCATCCTGTGTGTATGCTATGTAATTTACATATTTTGAGTATGCTCATTTTTTATAAGCAATAGGAATTTTTACATTAGTGATAGCACTCAGTTTTCAATCAGTATCTCTGCTAGAAGTACAGCAGTTATTTATCAGGATTCTCACGTTACCGCCTTTTGTATAATTGAAGGTTTTTGGTTACCATACCAATGCAACTCCATTTAAAGATACAGACTGTTTACAGCAGGATTAGTAAACTTGACTGTGGAAGGTATTTAAACAAGGGGCAGAATTTAATGTAATAATGTGAGTGAATTTACCTTGCAAAAATTATATAATCTAGTATATCTAGGTGCTGGAGGCATTAAATGCTTTGGCTACAGTCAGTTTTGATTGTGGTTATGGGAAGGCACTGCTTCAATTTCAAGCATGGTCATCACAGTTGAAGTAACTGCAGTAAAAATCCTATGTTTTGAGTTTGGGATTGTTCACAGTACTATGCTGATGTTCTAACAGTAGAAAAATCACACACACCACATGCAATATAAATAGTATTTATTTCCAATGCAACAATTTTATTTAAGGAGGTAAAGTATTAAGGCATTTAAAAGTCAGTCTGAACACTACAAAGAACAAAACATGCAAAACTTAAGAATCCTTGTCACCCTGAGTTTGTATCTCATCTATTCAGAATTTCATGTTGTAGCACCATAGGAAGTCACCCAGCCGTACTATAAGGCACAAAACTCTTGGCAGTTATTTTTCTTGTCTTTGCTTGATCACTTGTTGCCTTGTGTATTCCCAAATCAGCAAAGCTCCACTTACATGAACATTGAGTGATCGAATAATACCCTGCTGAGGAATTTCCACACAGACATCTAGGTGGTGAATCAGGTTTGCTGGGATTCCTTCATGTTCATTTCTAGTAAAGAAGAAATGGTAACTTGTATCTGAAAAGAGGCAGGTGTTCCAGAAAGCAGAATATGCTAAAGTCACAACAGCATCCAAACAGCATTTGACAAATCGTGCCTCTGCCCTCAATATAACTGATTTTTTTTTTAAAGCAGTAATACATTACAGATAAAGAAAACATGGGAGACCTGACTAAGCTTTGATGTAGGAAACCAGTAGAGCACTTAATCTTTAGTTCACAGGTCGAGCAGTAGCACAACACCCAAACACAAGGACTCCGTCTCTGCCTTTATTTTGGAACTATCCATATATAGCAAAATAAACAGCTATAGAGGAAACAACCAGGACATGAAGGTGCTAGCACAGCAGGGAAGCTCAAGTCCCCACTTTGCATTCAGTGAGGTCTTGGTATGAGGGAATGTCAAAACTGAGCGAAGCCTTGAACTGGTGAAACATTTCTGAATGAGCGCACAGGAAGATACCAAAGGTTATCAGTAACTAAAACAATGTTTTTAATTAGAAGAGGAAAAAAGTGATTATGAGAACTACATTCTGAAGACAAGCTACATATAAAAAGGTTTGAAAACTGGTATTTCTGCCCACTTTGTCCTCAAAGGATAGGCAGGCCCTTCCTCTTGGTCTCACTTGGTGGCCCTGCAATTCCAGCAGCTTTCTGACTTGCAGGCACTTTATCCTCTAGGTTTCTTGAAGTAGCCTCCCCTTTGTCACTTCTGAGGCTTGCCTGATTATAGGAACTGAGCATTGCTTTTCTCTGAAGTTGTCCCAGCCTCTGCTTGTACTGCAAAAACTTGCTACTTCGTCCTGTGCCTCATCCTTAATTTTTAAAGCATCTCCCAGCTATGCCTGCTCCCAACTCCACTCCTCACCAGGTAAAGCAGGGCAAACAGGCAGCCCTCCTTCCTGCCGAGCTCACCGCAGCCTACGCATGCAGGGGCCCATATTACTACAGTGCACAGATTATCTCTGTCATACCTGGAAAACTATAATCCATGCTGTTGCTACCTCCACCTATAGAAAAAAGGGGTTACAGTGTATGGATAGGTTACTAAGTATGAGGAGAAGGATCATTCAGGAGTAGATACCAATACCTCTGACTCCTTAGTACAGAAAGCCAAGCTCTGCCATTTCCATAATCACTTCCCATTCTAAATCCACCTTGATCCGTGTCACTTGGTTTTCATATGACCAAACTCTGACTAGTAGAAGGGATGGACCGCAAGAGGTAGATTTACAAAAGAAGTATGTGTTCTTACCCCAGTAATAATAGTGACTTCTCTGGGAAGCAATATTCTGTAAGATCAAAACTTTTAGCTGTCTGCTCCACACCAATAATAGTGTAGCCCTCGGTTTTTTTCTGCTGTAAATAATCAACAAGCTGAGATGGTTTCACCTGTCCATCAAAAGTAGAGAGAAATACACAAATATTTAACTATCACCATCTGTAAACTTCTGAAGTTGCTGTAAAAATCAATTTACTTGGACAGTTTTTAAGATTAATGACTTTTATCCCCAAAGACTTTGTCCATATAAGTAGCTTAATATTTTAAAAGCTCTTCAGCAATAGCACAAAAGGTTAAGTAATGCCACAAAAATGTACTCCACAAATACAACAAACAAAGGCTTTTCTATGCTTCTGGCAGCTACAGCCCTTACATCTGAATGTAAAAAAAAAAAAAAAAAATCACTCTTGCATAGGGACAAGGTGCATAGTTGTTATTTAACCTGGAATTCCTTCCCAAAACAATACAACAGCCACTATTGAAGCCGAGTTGCCTTACATGCCTGCATTACAGCTTGTGATAGCTTGCAGTGAAGAATTTCTTAGTTGTCTTCATCCTACTCTCTAACCTGCTTATTTGTATTAAATGCCAATTTCTTCATGCAACAGAAGCTCTATCATCAGTACACACTTCTGTACAGAGATTAGGCAGGACAACGTGTGTCCATCAGCATTCTGTTTTAGGCAAAACACACTACGGCTATCTTGTTCTGAAGAAAAATCTTAATAGGCTGAAAATAAACACTGGGGGGAAAAAAAAGGAACAATTTACACTGAATTTTTCAGATGATTTAAAGCTGATCTTGAAAAACCAATTACTATAAAATATCACAAACGTATTTTCTACCAAATAGTAAACATACAGGTTGGAACCTTCATTTTTGCAAGCTAGATAAGTTCTAAAAGCTTGGCCCAAGTTAGCTTCAAGCAAACTCAAAGATTATCCCTAGGAAATCACCACAAGCAATGGACCAAGCAAGATAAACGAAGTGTTGTTCAACCTTTATAAACAAACATGAAATTCCAACGCACAACTATAAAACACAGATTAAGATGTAACAATGACAGCTCACATAATCAGTTTATCACAGAAGTAACAAAGAAAAAATATTTGTTAAATTCTTTTTTATGAGGTTGACCCAAAGTTTATATCAAAATACTCAAGATTAAGTCTCAAAGATAACAGTGGGAGCTTCTGTTAAATAAAAAGTTCATTTTTGAAAGATAAAAAAGACTCTGAACTATGCATCTGATGAACTGAAGATGTACAGTTTATTTTTTAGCTATTAAAATGTTTCCATTCACCTCAACAAGTGGGAGCCACTGCTCTGCAGAAACACTAAGATGCTGAAACTGCTTATCCTGTATGTAATGAAGGCTGCCGACAACTAGTGCAGATGCCCCAAATATCTCACTCGTGCGACATAAACCTACAAAGAGAAGAATTAAAGTGATTTTTGTGTAGAAACACCAAGCCAGGATATTTTACCAAGTGAAAAAGGACAAAGAATCTGAAAGAGAAATGGTTACTTTAGTCCTCGATTTTTAATCGGTTTCAGGTACTGCTCTGTTCCAAGCCACACCTTGTTCCATATAATTTACCAGGGGGAAAAAAAAAAGTTTTGTTACTTAGCAGAAAGATAAAAATTAGAAAAGCACTCTGTCTGACAATGTGCTTCTACAATACTAATTACACAAAGTAATGGGGCAGTGTACAAGCCTTGGCAGGGATGGATGGGCACACAGACACACGCTTAAGCTCTAAATCCAGTACCTGTTAAACGAAAGGCTTGAGAGAACGACACATTACAGCATTACAATGCAGACAGCACGAGTTTGGGGGCTCGTTTTTCATTAACACTCTCACTGCAGTTATTTAAACTGCTGACAACAGCAAGCACAATGCAATAAAGTATTTGCAGGATTTATTATATCACAGCTTGCACAACATTTTGAAGGAGTACTTAATCAGGAATGGGCACTTTCCTGTCCAACAGTCATGAGAAACTAGCAGGTCTACAAGATTTGGTTTAATTGTTATAGAAAAAAATATAAGAGTAAATTATTTCCTTTAACTGCAACAATTGAAAAACTCAACTGTAACAAAGAATAAAACCAGCAAGAAACCGAGCATGATTTACAGCAAAGTTCTATTTAATTAATGCATGCTAAGTTCTTTTTTTTCTTCTTGAAATGTAACTATAGAAGACCCTTTCTTCTGAAGCAGGTAGTATTTCTTCTGGTTACCATTTTTTTTTTTCAGGACAATGAGCTATTTCTCTGAGCAGTACTTAAATAATCTTCTAATTATAACCATAAGATGAAATTCATTCCTATTATCCAAGTGGGCTCTAAGGTCTAAAATAAAAGTTTAAAAATGTGCACTCGACCTTACCTCCTAAATTAGTAGGTTTATCAATAAGTGAAGCCACCACAATCAGTCTGCTGTTTGATTTACCAAGTTTAGCAGCACGATCCTGAAATACCATTTCCAGGTCTAAACTAGGAGTACTGTTTTTCCAGGGTATAATCTTTTTCTGAACATCAGTCCATTCTGTCTGGCTATCTGTTTCAGCTGAATTTGAACCTATAAAAACAAGTAGTAGTCATATGAATATGCAAGTGGTAGTGAAACTACTGCTTCAGTAAAGAGGATTATATAAATGGTAACACTGTAGACACCATTAGTTATCTACTATTATTTTATGGTATTTTTTTATAGTATTATTATTTTATGGTATTCTGCTCACATAGATACAAGTCTAACTTCAGCTGAAAAACACAGAGATCAGATTGAATACAGATGTATACAGCTACTACATACAAATAATTATATTTAGTATAGATTAGCTATATTTTTACCCATGTCTTGCTGAGACCAGTCACTTGGTTTCAGATCATGAAGTTCCGTTCGAGAACGATACCACTGAAATGCTGGTGGCAAAGGAATGTCAGTGAATCTGTCAAATTTAGAGAGTGAGATCCATTCATCTTCAGCAAGTTCCGAAAGGCGAGGAAGAGTGTAAAATATTGTCTGCAACGTAACACGGTATTATTAGCAGAGCACCACTAAAGCAAGCAAAACAGATAATAAATTGATCTCTGGTAACTTTATTGCACACATCTTATCTAGCATTCCATGATTTTAATACTTGTTTTTCTTGGTACTTGATATAACTTACTAATATATCTCCCAATATTCATCACTTAACATACAGTGCTATCTCAAACTTTCATAAATCTAGTCTCTTCCTCTCTCCAATTAGACATTTTTTAAGGATCTCCATTGATTACTGTTCTGAAATTCTAGAATACCAAAGAATTAACGCTATGCTTCTCAGCACAGAGGTCTTGTGAAAACGTTTTAGGCGTAACACTAAAGAGTTTTCAGATGCTTTTATGAACTTCTACTAAAGAATGCTCATTGATTTAATGTCAAAAGGAATGTAGTTGAAAGCATTAAAACCTAATGGTAAAATCCAACTCAGTACTACCGATACACTAACCACAATTTATCAAGGAGGAACAAACACATGCCTCAAGGGAAAGGCTGAATAAGATGAAAAGTTTAAAACTCAGACATTTTGTTTATTCCAATGCACCCTCAAGATGAAGGTGAAGATGTACCCTGAACACATTAAAATACTTAACGAATATTGGCCTTAGGTTTGGGGTTGGTTTTTTTTGTTTGTTTTGTTCTTTTTCTTGTTCAGTATTTTCACTTCTCAACTTTGCTAAGTCATATCTAGCATATTTAAGTGTTGACAAAAATATTTCACAGACCATCAGTTTAAAAAAAAAGAAAAAAAATTCCTTCTCTGAAAGATGGCACTGTTTGTGCCAGAACACAGGTACCCTTTTTCACATTCATGTTTATCTTGTACTTTGAGCTTAGTTCCTCTAAATCTTATTTTTATCTACACCCTTATTTCTGCCTTCCTTCCCTCAGTGTTTATTCAGCTGTCAGTTATTTAAGTATAGCAAAAAAGGATAGCTGAAAAAGATGCTCTAGAAGTTACAGATCTTTATCCCGATCACATCAAACAACAATTTAGTCAGGCAACCTCAAGTTACTTCTAAGAACACGTTTCAAAAATCCTAACACACTACATGCGATTAAATAGATGCTCTTCAGTTATTAGAAGGAACTTTTCCAGCCACAAATATAAAACCTGATTAACACCCACACAGGTGGGCACATTCATCAAACATACCTCTTCTTAATTGACCCAGGGTTTCAACACAATATTAATTAGAGAACTAAGCTGCAGTCTCAGTCTAAAAACCATCACAATTTAAGTGAAGTAATTTTTCAGAGTTTTAAATGAATAACAGTTGATCATTATTCATCCTACATTAGAACATACAAAGAAAGATAAAAATATAGTTGTAAAACTACACAAATACAACGATTAGCAATAGTCTCGGACTTGCCTCTAGACTATAGTCCTCAAGTGGATGAAATGTTGCAAAGAAGAAGTGATCTTGGATTCGCTGCC